CTCAGGAGTCCAGACAGGGCTGAGTAATGGGAGATAGCCTGGCCTGGAAACCAAACCGAATATGAAAACCTCTGTCCCCAAGGAAGGACTGGTTCCTTCCACTTTGAATTATGATTCCTGTTAATAGTGAAAAATGCAGCCGTGCGCTGTGCGGTTCTTCCCAGTGAGGAGTTTTGTCTGCTGTCAGTGGTCTGTAAAGAAAGCCTGTTTTTGAGGATGAAGTGCTAATTACGTTGTCCGGCTCGTTGGGGTTATTTCCTCATTATGTCTTACTCTGAAGCCAACGGAACTTCTTATCCCTCAACTTCCAAGGAGTCAATGAATTATTGTTTGCTAGCCTTGAATAGCCTCTGCCAAGTTTATAATGTGGAGTTCTGGTCATAATCCAGGAAGATGCTGGTCAGATTATGTAAATACTGGTTAAACCTACAGAATTACACTCAGAGGGCATTTTTTTTATGATGAGTGTCTTCCTAGAGAATTGAGTTTTCCAAGGCCCTTTCCTCTATCGGGATGGCTAAGAACGTCGTGTGCCTGAAAGACGTGAGCTAATATTCGTGTCCATTCCCCCACCATTTTTAAACAAAGCTCTTGAAATATTGGGAAATTCAAATTTATTGTTAAAATCCAAGCTTTTCCTACAGATGCCATTTCACTTTAAATATTTGTTGATGATTGAGAAATATTTGTTGATTATTCCATGATACAGCACAGTTTAATAGACATTTCAGTGATGATGGAAATGTCCTCTGTCTGCAAGGTGCAGTATGGTATTCACTAGCCACATGTGGCTGCTGACACTTCCAGTATGGCTAGTGCGACTGAGGAACTGAATTTTTAATTTTATGTAATCATAGTTTAAATATAAACGTCAGTAGCTAGGTGGCTAGTGGCTACTGAATCGGACAGCACAGGTTTATGTAATGGTGGGGATTTCTCAGCTATTTAAAGCCTTAGCTCTTCTAATTCTGTGGGGTTGGAGAAGGGGCCTCGTTAGGAAAAATGCTTGCAGACAGATTGTTTCTGTGCACTGTTAAATAGTTTGCTTTTTAGACGCAGATAAAACCTGGGTAAAACGAGCTATTCTCGGCAGAGGTGCCCCTTGTGTGTTCTGCAAACGGTGGGCTGGATGGTCATCTTACAGCCGATTAGCTGAAAGAATATCTCTGGCTGGGCTCAATTGTTCAAAGATTTGTGCACCCTTTGTACAAGAACAGGGAAAATTTGTGTTATGACAATGGCTGACAAAATGTTTAATGAAAGCTGCAATTGGCAGTAACTAAATTCCCTGAGGTTTCTTGCTGCTCCTCTATGCTACTGAAAGGTGTAGAAATGCTTTTGACAGCATCTGTCCTGTTGACAGATGAATTGTTTTGACAGGAGAATCTGAAACCTTCAACTTAAGACACATTCAGATGTCCAGCTGGGTAAGGGGTGATCATGTTTGTAGAAATAAGTGAGATGCTTTAGGTTTGTGTGCATGTCAGCTGCCACCTGAAAGAAAGGCCTCATTAAAAGTTTTTCACTGATTAACCCTTTGATTGTTCCTGGGAACTGAGATGAGAATTCACACCCCTCTCCACACAGTTCTTGGGCTGAATAAATGTATTTCCTTAATCATTGAAAAATGAGTGTCAGTAAGCAAAGCAGTCAAAGGGTTAAAAAAAAACCCTTTATTTAAAAATTGTGCTGAAAAAATTATACCAAAATTGATACCAGCATTTTTCACAATAACCAAGAGATGGAAACAGCCCAAATGCCCATCAACTAGTGGGATAAACAAAATGTGTACACACACACACACACACACACACACACACACACACACACGGGAATATTATTCAGCTCTGAAAAGGAAGGAAATTCTGACATATGTTACAACGTGAATGGACCTTGAGGCTATTATGCTAAGTGTAAGAAGCCAGACACAAAAGCACAAGTACTGTGTGGTTCCACTCACAGGAAGTACTGACATTTCAGAGACAGGAAGTAGAGTGGAGGTTGCCATGCCTGGGGTAGGGGTGGGGGAGTATGGGGAGTTAGTATTTAAGGGGTACCAAATTTCAGTTGGAGAAGATGAAAAAGCTCTAGGAATGGATGATGCTGATGGTTGCACAGCAGTGTGAATGTACTTAAAGCCATTGAATTGTACACTTAAAAATGATTAAGATGGTAAATTTTACGTTATGTATATTTTACCACAATTAAAAAAACGATTATACTGGGAGTTTGTCTCCCTGAAATGAGCAAACAAGAAAACGTCTCTGAGGATTTTATTTCAGATTACATTTGTCAGGGAGAATATAGTAAATATTTTCCCCATTTCTTGATAAAGCAATTGATGATCAACAGCTTGTCCCAGGTTTCGGGACTAGTCACTCCTCAGACTTAAAAGCTAGGTCGCTCTGGTCCCAAAGTGGAAGCCATCCCAGGGGACCTGAGCTTCAGCCTCTGTCTTCTCTCTCTTTGCTAATAGGTGCTCCAAGAGAATTGCCCGTTACAGCCAGTCTGCTAGACTCTTGTTTGTTGATAAATGGCTTTTCTAGTTCATTGAAGGTCAGAATGTCACCACATCCAGGCTGACCTAGTGAGAGTTTAAATGTCCACTTACAGATCTCTTCATCTTCATTGCTACTTACTGGGAATCTCAGTAAGGTCCTGGTACTGTGTGGCCTCTTGCTAAGACTAGACTATGGAAGACCCCTTTTCAAGTAGCCTGGAGGTAATTTCATTCCACGTAGTTTAAAATGGGACCACCAGTTAATTGCCCGAGACCCAGATCCTGTGAGCCCCAGCTCCACCCTTGGCTGTGTAAATAAGCCAGAAATAAATCTTTCATTTTGAATCTCATAGCCTCAAGACTCAGTAACCTAGATGAGAGGCTGACAACTGGTGGTCCTCAAGCCAAATGTGCCCTGTAGATACGTTTTGTGTGGCCCATCTAGGATTCCTTTTTTTTTTTTTTTAAGTCTTAAAAAGATTGTACGTAAGAATTCAGAGTTTGAGCTTCTCTTGAAAATGAGAAGACTGGTCTGCACTGCCCTTGTTTCTGGAGATGGGAGCAAATGCCCCTTTAGATGGGCCGGCAGGTGGGCACTGCTGTGTCAGACTCATTCCATCCTGGCAAGGCCACCATGCCTTCCAGGCTCTCCTGCCTGTGCAGTTTCTGCGTCTTTCTCTGGAGTTTCAACAGCTTCCATTACCTAAGATGATATAAACGTTACAGTCCTTGTAAACTCAGTTAGCTCTAGACGCAGACACGATATTTCAGTCCCCCCTTTTGATAATAATGTGCTCAAAATAGAAGACAATTTCAGTCTGTGCCATCCTTTTTCTGACATGGGAGAATTTTCTCCATTGGTGGGTGTTCTCTTCCGCGTCTAACCTGTTGATGTCTGTGTACCCAATCATAAATACCCCCAAGTGCAGACAAGCTCACACTTGACTTTAATATGTGGTTTTAAAAATTACCACCATCAGTTTTTTACAGTAACATAATCTCTGGACAAATTGCATTTAATTCAGGCTATGCCCCGAACACAGATGTACCATTAATTGAAAACGCAGTTTGACTTTTATTTAGATGAATGTCTTGAGTTGACAGTGAATTGGCTATATCAGCTCTATGTTAGTATTGATTAGAATGTCTCTGGAGTAAGTTTAAAAGCTAGTTGCCACTTATGTGATGCTGTGTATCCCTCAAGAGCTAGACTTTAAACTCATTACTAGGAGTACTGTTAATTGGTAGTTATGTCAATGGAGTTAATAGCTGAGATGAAAAATGTAAACCTCTTCGGCTTACGCAGGACTGGGTGTATTTTGGAGGCAGGGAGCAAGGTACAGTGCACAGTAAGAAGTTAGGGCCCGATTGGATCCCATGTCTGTGAATTCTGTTCCAGAAAGATCAATTAACTGTTTAGTCTGGTTGAGGGTGAGATCTGAGAAGCTCACCTGACCACACACTTCTCAGCTTGTTGCATGTCTGCTTCTAAGAGTACAGTTGGGAGGGGGGAGGTGTTGAATGGGCAAGAGATGTAATTCTGAATCATTGTGACAGACGCCATCATCTTGAGAAGGCTGCTTACACATGTGGCTTTCACTGCCTTTGGTTAACACACCAGCTGCGAGTTTCCTGTGACCGTGGCTTTTCTCTCCTGTGTGATCGATCACTCCCAATGTTTATTCATTGATGGTAGGAATACCATGTTCATATATAGCTTTATGATTAGGATCTTTCAGTGTTCACTTTCTAAACAGTCCCTTCACGTTTGACTATACGTGTAAGTGAATTTTAATCTTAAGTTCTTGTTTAGACCAGGGTTTCTCAACCTCCGCACATTGCTGTTGACACTTAGGGCTTGATGATTGTAGTTAAGGGCTGTTCCTGCCCATTGTAAGATGTTTAGCAGTATCCTCGGCTTCCACCCACCGGATGCCAGAAGCAAACCCCCCTTTCCTTGCTGTTGTGACAACTAAAAACTGTCTCCAGAGATTGCCAAATGTCTTTCCAGATTGAGAACCACTAATTTTTAGACATTGTGGGGTCAGCACCTCACCCTCTCTTTTTCTTTACTACTGCTTGTTATTGTTTGATGTTTTAGAAAAACATTAATAAAAAAGTGCCATTTAAAATGGCCTTGGACTTGATAGGGTACAAAGCATTTGGACCAGCACACTGTAATGTAGGTAGAGGACTAGCTTACCTCAGAATTTCTTTAAAAGTTGCTAAGTGGTAAAATGGTGTTGATTAAAATTCATTTGAAGTTAGTCAATCTCAGGTGGTTTGAGATTTTCACAGTGACTCATTTATGGATACAAGTGTGGAGGAGGTATATCTGTAAATCTCAGTATCAATAAGTTACTCAAAATAATGCACAAGATGGGGCAATCATGAGGGAGAGGACTGGTTTTTTTAGCGGGTAGAGTAGAAGATTCCTGAATTTTGGGTGTAATGTAATGTTGATTCAATTACTTCTTTTCTTTTCTTTTCTCTTTACCAGAAACCTGAGTTACAACAAATTTTCTGAGATTGACCCTATTGGTTTTGAGGACTTGCCGAATCTACAGGAAGTGTGAGTGCTTTTCCCCAAACCTCTGGGTGGGGGGGGGTTGGAGGGATGGAGGGCTCCTTGGGAAAACTCTCTGGTACTGCAGCATCGCTCTCTCTCCCACATCAGAAGTCTAAACTTGTCACAAGGAACATGTAAGATTGCACTGCTTACTGAGCCCGCCTCTTCCTCCGAGGCAGCCTGTGAATGGGTGTGTTCCCGTCTGGTAGGTGCGGACGTATGGAAATCACAGGAACATGATGGGTGTATAGGAGAGTCCAGCTGGCGGGTGGAGCAACCCGCTTAGCAGGGGCATATGAGCCAGCCCAGTGCTTTTGTTCCCCAGGAAACAAAGGAATTGAAGAATGGACAATCGAGGCATACCTTTTCTCCCCCATCTCCAGAAAGAGCCAGGCATTACTACCTTTGGAACGCTAGACTTGCTGCCTCTTGCAGTGTGCTTTAAATCAGGCCTCAGTCTTTTCCTTCTCCTCTTCTTCTTTTTAATGTAAAGAATTCTGCTTCTAAAATGGATGTTAGGATTGTCAGGAATTTTAATTCCTCAGGGACTTGAGACACTTTCACATAGGTCATGCATACCCGCTGCAGAAAATTTGGAAACTGGAAATATGTAAAGACTAATTAAAATCTCCAGTATTATTATCCAGATATAATCATTGTGAACACTAAGTGAAAAATGTGTATCTCTACATATATAATTTTGGGATCAAACTGTATATCTATTATGGATTTTATATCTATTCCCTACATATGTTTAGATTTTTAAATACTTTATCATGTAAATTAAAATTTTTTAATATCCCATTTTAATTTTTTCATAAAACTACCTACTACACATGGATATTCCATAAATTATTCACCCAGTGCTTCTATTGTTAGATATTTTTATTTGATATTATTAGGTAAGTGCTTTACACATTTTGGTTATTATATGTAACTGCTAAAAGTCCTTATTTATTATTCATCGATTTCATTGTTAATGATTTATCTAAAGGAAGTTTAATTTCATCAACTGATGCAATTGGCAAAATACTTGTATTCCCTATCCCCATCTCTAAACTCTCCAAAAAGGCATTTGTGATTCCCGCGTCTGTTTAAAAACGGTTTAAACTTCCAGAGTTGAAGGAACATCAAGCTGGAAGGGGCCCTGGGCGATTCTGCTTTGTCCCAGGTCCTCGTTTTTCCATTGGGTCTACGGGCCAGTGGTGGGAGCAGGGAAGTTTGAATTGGGTCATCGTGTTAGTTTGCCATAATAAAACACCACAGACTGGGTGCCTTAACAGAAATTTCTTCTCATGGTTCTGGAGGCCGAAAGTCCAAGATCAAGGGGTCAGCAGGGCTGCTTTTCTGAGCCTCTCTCCTTGGCTTGCAGATGGCTGCCCTATTGCTACTGCCTCACTTGGCTTTTCCTCTGTGTGCACCCATCCCTGGTATATCTTGTGCTTGTCCAAATGTCCTCTTCTTAAAAGAACAGTAGTCATATTGGATGAGGGCCCATCCATATGACCTCATTTAACCTTAATTACCCCTTTAAGGATCCTATCTCCAAATATAGTCACATTCTGAGGTTTTGAGGGTTTAGGACTTCAACATATAAATTTTGAGAGGACACATCTCAGCCTATCACAGTCGCCTAAGTTCATGAAAGAGTGGCTGGGCTTCTAACCCAGCGCTTTCCCTGATCCAGGCTGCTTTTAATGCCTGTGGTTAGGATACCTACCCAGCTTCTCATGTGAAGTCTCTAAGCTAGTGGTTTCTTTTAGAATTGGACAAAATTAAAATTGGGGCTCTCATTTAAGCTTTCATTAACATTTATTTGAGTACCTCCTATGTGCCCGGTGCTGCTCTGGGTGCGGGGGGGGGGGGTACAGGGGGAAACAGGACAAACAGATGGGACTGGTGTGAGGTAATGAGGCATTTACCTCAGGTGCAGGATTTAAGGGGCACTCAAAACTCAGCATTTGTAAGTAAAGGATATTTTAATGCAATATTTAAAAAATAAGAGTGAATGCAAAGAAATCCATGATGAGCAAAGTATAAAAAGTTTAAGTAAAGACCAGATCAGTGTTCCTGAGTTTTCCTTTTGCCTCAGGTTCCAGGGTGGCTTGCCGTGGCATTGTCGCTGATCCTGTCTTGATGTAAAAACGTTGATATTTTGTTCATCATGGATTTTGTTTTATATTAATTTTGATATTTTAAAAATAATTGCTTTAAAATATTATTTTTCCTGGCCACTGGAAATGTTGTGCTGCCCCTCACCCAATCCCAGCCCTGCAGACAAACCTCTTCTCTTAGAGTTTTACATTATGATGGGGAAAGACATGCATGAACAAGGAAACCAGTGAGACTTACTAGTGATAAGTGTTAGGGGAGATAGAACAGCGTAATGTGAGGAGTTTGTCTTTCGTCGTTGTGGAGGGGTGATAGCAGAGCCGGGGTGGTCAGGAAGGTGATGACTGAGCAGATGTGAATGATGTGGAGACAGCATCGCAGATGCAGGGCCTCAGGAAGGAGGAAGCTGAGGGCCATGTGCCTGGCCTTGGGAGGGCGGGGGTGTGGCCGGGCCCTGGCACCGCCCATGGCCCACAGCTGCAACCATCATGAACCCCCATCAACTGGGGGCATGTTAGATGCTCCTGTGCACATGTTCGCTGTTGTTCTCTCTAGCCCTCTTGTTCCATTTGTTCCTTCCCCAAGCCAGCTTTCAACTTCCGTTTGGTTCGGCTCCCTTCACCTACAGCCTTCAGTCCCCTTCTACTTGGTCCTTTTTAGAACATAACACCCCACCCAGATCTAGAGCCGAGAGCATCTGACTTCTGCTTGGCCTTCACTGGGGATGCTGGTTATGAGTCTTTTTTTTTTGTTTGGTATTGTATGGTATGGTATGGTATGGTATGGTATGTATGTATGTATTGTATGGTATGGTATGGTATGTATGTATGTATTGTATGGTATGGTATGTATGTATGTATGTATGTATGTATTTATTTATTTTCAATGACAGTTGACATTCAATATTATATTAGTTTTAGGTGTACAGCGTAGTGGTTGGACATTTATATAACTTATGAAGTGATCCCTCCAGTAAGTCTAACGTCTACCTGACACCGCATGTCGTTATTATAATACGAGTGACCATATTCTTTATGCTGTACTTTACATGCCTGTGTGGTTATATCTTACAAATAAAGTTCCCATATAACAACAGCCCCAGCAGTCCCAGCAACACCGTGCTAAGCCTTTGGTGAATGAATGCTGCCTCATTGATCCTCATACCAGCACTGGGACATAAATTATTTTCTTTACAACCATTTTCAGAAGAGGAAACATGAGCTCAGAGAAGTGAAATAAACCTGTTTAGTGTTACATGGTTGGCAAACCTGAGAGTTGAACTTAAATCCATTTGATTCCAAATCTTAGGCATTTAACCCTGAAACTGTACCGCCCTCAGTCCCCCACGTCCCTTATCTTAGCCCACAACATTCATCTGAAGAGGTTTTAAACACAGAAAATCCAGTGTTTATCAACTTGTATCACTCTTTCTACACAAGTCTTCTCTTTTTAGGTACTGAGTATTTCCTGGTATGCCTCTAGACCTCTCATGGAAATCCATACTACCGTCCAAGTCCAGCTATCCGTCCCCCTTCACACCCTGGCTTTCCTCCTTCCCTGAACTCCTGCTGTGTCTACAAGCAGGACGAGGCCCCTGACTCTATCCTGTGTGTGACTTCTTTCCTTCCTCCTGCTAACACACTCGTGCAGGTTGACCGTGGCTGGCCATGCGCTAAGCGCTGTTCGCCTTATTGTCACTTGTACTTTTTTCAGACATTGAAGGAACCATGGCACCGAGAATTGGCGGGAGTTGCACAAGTAGTAAGTGGTAGAACTGGGCCTGCACCCCCAGTCTGGTCCCATGCTCTCTGTGGCAGTACTACTTTCCTGAGTATGGGAGTTGTAAAGGCAAGATTGCATTGTGTAGTGTAGTGGGAAAAACACACACTGTGGAAGCAGACAGACCTGGGTTGGAGTTCTAGTTGGGTCCCTTACCGGAACTGTGTCCCAGGACAAGTTACATAGTGCCTCAGTGCTTCCTTCCCTTCTTCTGCAACGTGGACATAATAACACATTGTTGTTATATTATTATTAATTGGAGATGACGTCCAGGGCCTTGCACATGCTAAGGACTCACTGGGTGTTATTTCTCTTCTGCTACTTTCCAGTCACTTAGCCACCCAAGCGGGGTGCATTAAGAAACAAATCCCTGAGGGCTGATAAGTTGACCCTTTCCCCACTGAGCCTGACTCCAGTCCTGGTGTCACACTGTTGATGGGTGAGGCAAATTCCTTGAGCAGAACAGTACAACTTCTCCCTGATTAGAGATTTGGGCCTTGCCTGAGGGAATTCTGATACATTGTGGAGGCAGAAAGAGGCTGTCAGGAGTGAGGGCTGGGAGGTGGGGAAGGATACTGAAGAAAAAAAACCTCATAGTTGAGACGCAATTGCTTCTAACATCACTGGGCTCAAGGGTTTCCCAGGAGCTGTCAGTTCTCCTAAACCCTGCAGAGCCCTGTGAGTCTGGACATCTCAGCGAGAGGGGAACCACAGCCTGGCAGAGCAGCGGCCGGTGGTTTTCAGCAGTGGTTTTATTTTGGAGGCTGGAACCACAGAACACCGTGGGCTGGTTGCAGAGAGAAAGTGAGCCCGCTGGAGACCCCTGGAGGACATGACACTCGTGCAGCTGTTGCCAAGCCACACGGCCTTCACTGCCCGCAGCTCTGAGGAAAGCCCACCAGGGAGGGCCCCCAGCCAGGGGTCCTGGACGGCAAGGCTCTTCTATTAATAAAAGGGGCTATTTATACCATTCTCTTTAAAAACTGCGCTGGGATCATGTTACTGCCGCCTGGCCTGAGAAGGCTTAATGTGGGTGCTGTCGTGTGTGCTTTCCAGGGCCATTGACCTAAAATGTTCCTGCAGGCAGCGAGGAAGCCTGAGTGGGCCCTGCCTGAGGGTATTTATGGCTCACCCTCTTGCTTCTCAGGCCTGTGCTCCCCAGTGTGTGTGTGGTGTGCTTAGGGAGGGGTGGAAGAATAAGGGGGTGTCATTTTGAGCCACTGCTTTTAGGCTGTGAATTACCACCACCTGTTAAGCATTTACTCTATATCAGGCTGTATCCTAAGCTATTCGGTTTAATTGTTTCAGCCAGATCCTGCCAAAAACCTATGAAGTTGGTACTTTTGTTAGTCACATTTTTTTTGGAAGAGGAAACTAAGGCACAGTCAGGTTAGGTGACATGGCGAAGGCCATTCAGTGGGTAGCGGTAGGAGTGGGGTTGAGTGTACCCAGGTGTGTCTGATTTAAAGACCCAAGCTGTAATAATTCCTGCTGCTCTGTAACTGTGCCTCAGTTTCTTCTGTTAGGTCAGGGTGATCATTTCATACCTTCCTTAAAGGCTTGTATGTCATTTGGTAAGGCATTGCACCTACAGCTCTCAGCTCCGAGCTTGGCCCAGAGCAAACGTTAGCTCTCCTCACTGTTGCTTGCGACACAGCTATCCCTGTACTACAACATCTGTACGTGGCCATCTGGTACACAAACCACATATCATAAAGCCTCGCCAGTTGTTATGTAGTAAGCCCTATTGTCAAGTAACTAAAAGCACCCATAATAACTGATTGGTTAAGTGGCCCCAACTCCAAAATCTGTGCTCCTACCTGCCACTGACAACTTTCTCCCTTTTAAGAAGTAACACTTACTGACGTTCCAAGCCCTTGCTCATCTCTGACTGTTATTAATTGCAGCTCTCTCTGTGTTTGGAAACAATCGAAGTGTCTACAGATAGTGGAATGGCTAAATAAATCATGGGTCATTCATACAACTCATGACAGCAGAGGAGTACCCTGCAGCTGGTTAAAAGAGTTATGGAGGGCGCTAAGATATATCACTGAGGGAGAAGCTGGTACTGAACAGTCTGCAGAATATACAAGCATCTGTGTAAAAGAAAAACGTGTACATCTCTAGCAGCTGGCAGCAAGAGCTTTCTCTTGGAAGCAGACCAGAGGACTGAAGTGCAAGGAAGTTTTATTTTTCACTGTATATGCCTGGTATTCTCTTGAAACGGCTTGAAAGTGTATGCATATATCAACTATTACATAAATAAAAATTAAATAAGGCAAACAACAAACAACATACCCCCAAAAGCTCTATAACCCCAGATTACTCCTTGGTTTGTTTTTCATTGTTTGTTGAAGCCTGATTTGATTGGGTAATAAGAAAGTACTCTGAATGGCCCTTTTTAACGTTTTGTATCTTGGAGAATGTAAGGACTTCCTTGACCAAGCCAAGTAAAGGCAGTTTCGGAGAGACAGCCGAGGGCCCTGAAGCCTGGCTGGGAGAGGCCCGCCTCCAGGTGTGCACGGGGTCAGGCGGTCCCGCAGCCCCACTTGTCCTGCTCATTCGTCTTCTAGCTCCCGGGGTGCGCCAGGGGTCCCAGTTCATGGACTGGAGCATCTGGGCACTTCTCGGGCTGGAATCATCAGGAAAAGAGTCAGATAAAGACATTGGAGAGGATTTGGGGGGCCTTGCATGGAAGCAGATTTTAGGGGAGTATGAAGGGAGGAAGACTGTACAACCTCAGATATTCTGAAGATTTCATTAAACACAGTCCTAAGTTCTTCCAGTCTCCTCAGCGGTGGAGACTGCTGCACTTCCCAGGGCCGAGTCCCTCTGGCTCCGGCTGTGCTATTTTGGACCGGTCTCTATTTCAGTCTGGCAACTTGGTCATGCCTCAGAGCCAATGCAGCCTCCATTGCCTTCTGAGAATAGTATTCTTGTTTAAACGGGACAGAGTGAACAAAAAGAAAGTTGTACTGGGGGCGTTAACAGACTTAGTCGCTATTGGTTCTTTTTCTGTAGAAATAATCGAGAAGTAAGCTGGCCATGCGCTTTTCTGCTTCGGGCTCCAGCTGTCCTCGAAAATCACGCTGCCCTGTTGAGATGGGAGCCTGCATTTCTGCCTCCGCCTGTGGATTTGGGGCTGCTGACCTCGACATAAAATGCCCCATTTATTTTTAGCACTGGTCTGCTGCCCCTCTACATTCTGCTCCCAGTGGTTTTTCAAGATTTGAAGTCTTCTTATGAAGTTATTTTCCCTGTTTATTTATTTCTGTGAGATTGGGTGGGGCAGTTTGTCATGTGAGCAGTAGGGCTCACCTGAGACCAAGCCCATTCAGCAAAAGTTCCTTCTGCTGCAGAGAAACCCATCCCGTTTTGTTTCACGTCTAAAGTCAAGTCAGATCCTAAGTAGGCTAAAACACAGCTGCCCTGTCACCTAGGGGATTAGGAGCTTTACACTTGCCCGCCTTTTTGCTTGTTGGTCTCCTCTCACTTGCACTTGTACTTGGGTTCAGCTCTTATATATGACCCTGGGGTAGTGACTTGAACTGAAACTTAAGTTAGAGAACTTGCCTATAAGGCAGGGAACAGTAGTAGTAGTACCAGGTACCTAACTCAGGATTGTGATGATGAAACTACATAATGCATGTGATGTTGTTGCTGCACTTATAATGAAATAGAGGGTAATGGTTAAGAATCTAGACTTTGGGGCTAGACTCCGAGGGCCACTGCCACTGACTGCTGGTGACCTTCTTCAAATTATTTAACATCTCTGTTTTAGTGTCCTCATTGGTACCATGGAAATGTTCATGGGATCCATGGGATCTATCCCCTAGGGGGTTGAAAGATAAGTTAATACACTGAAGAGCTCTGTGCCATGCTTGGCACATTGTCAACCCTCTGTGTTACCACTATTACCACCATCACCTGTGTTTTAGAATAAATCTCTAGGAAATGAAGAGTTCTTCTGCATGCTTGCCTTATTGGCAACAGATCCCCGACCTGTGTTTTTCTTGCTCTGTTAAGATCTGATGGTATCATTTAGTAATAAGTACATTGACGGTACTATGAAAATTTATTAGTAGAGATTCAGGCTGATGGAGAGTTTTCAGTATCCCCATACCAGGAGGAGAGAAAAGGTGAAGCAGAAACAATCTGATTTAGGGGGAGTCAGATAAGTGACTGCTAAAGTAATTAATTGTCTACTTCAACACACCAGCAAGAGCTTTTTAAGTGGAGACAAGATTTGCCGCATGATACGGATCTGCCAGATGCTTCAGTTATGAAGCGATTGAAACAGACGTCCTGTGTCCCATGGCCCAGGAATTGCTGCACTTCATCTCTAACTGGCTTTGGCACTGAAGAAAGCAAATGGGATAATTCAGGGCTTTTCCTTTTTTTTTTTCCTATTCGTTTCTGTAGAAGATGGCAGACAACAAGATTATTCTATTCAAGCAAATGCTAGCTGTATACTTGTCTGAATACAGCTGTCATTTCAGTGGCCTTGTCTTCAAATAGTAACAAGATGGTCTATGTAAAACATACGCCCTTAAAAAAAAAAAAAGGGACTAAGATAACTCATCTTTTTCCCCTTGATTCTGCATCTCAGATACCACTTTCCGGCCCATCGCCGAGCAGAAAGCCTGAGCGCTGTGCTTTGGCTTTCTTAAGGCTTTTTGGGCTCCCTTCCCAAGTCTGATTCTGGATTCTCTGCCCGGATTTGGAAATACATGTCCATGTAAGGAGGCCAGATTGCACAGCCTCGGGGCAGCCCGTGTGAGCCCGGGTTTGGTGTGTGGGCTTCCCCTTCCATGAAGAGATGTGAACTCTGGGAATACAAATGTAGAACGTTCCAGTAGGAAAGGAGCTTGGAGAGCATCTCTGATCTGTGGAGAATTTTCAAAATATCTACATGCAAAAGTGTGTGTATGTGTGTACTCCTGGAAAATATGTCTGGAGGCTTCGTTAGAGTTCCGAGAAGCTGGAATCTCAAATAGTTGAGAGTCTCCAAGTCCATCTCCCTTGTTATTACACCGATGAGGCATCGGAATAATTGCCCCACATGTCCAAGCCCCTGGAAATTCCACACGCGTGTGCCTTTAGCCCTGGGCCCGGCGTGTGGGCAGAGCTGCAGTTCACACACTGCCATGTCACAGATGTGTGAAAACATCCATAAGGAGATGGTTTTTCCTTCTCTAATCCTCTTCCAGACTGGTTCAGCCTTGATGGTCTCGGGCACCTTTGTTCTGCATTGTGCGTCTTGACCTGCTGTCGCTGTACCTTGTCTGTTAGTCTTGATTCCTGACTTAGGTTGGAAGCTTCTGGAAGACCAGAGACACCCCTTGAGTGATATTTCTAAACCATAAGTGTGATCATTTTTGTGACCTCATGTGACTTCTCTCCCTTTAAGAACTCGCTTTTAAATTCTCCATTTTTTATTCAGCATTACCGTGACCAAGTCAGTACTGTTTTTCAGATTTCCCTTGTATGTATATGATTTCAAATTACTAATTTAAATGATTTCAATGATTGATTTCTTTGTGTTGTTGTTACAGGTACCTCGGTAACAATGAGTTGACAGCCATACCGTCCCTGGGTGCTGCTTCATCTCACATCGTCTCTCTCTTTCTGTAAGTGCTGCATTTGGGGGACCCCGGCCGGGCAGTGAGGTTGTGGTATCATCTTACATTTGGTGGCAGGAAAACTGTTCCTGTCCTTGCTGGTGAAAAACGGCCTCACTTCATGTAGTCCTAATGGTTATGACAAATGCCTTGCTTGCTGTTTGGGGTTTGTAAGAATTAAAACCTGGAAGTTTGCCTCATGCCTAATTTGGGGAGGCAGTTGGCTTTTTTAAATGCCTGGAGGTACATAGAATTAGATTTCTTGGTCCTAAAGGTTAAGCTGTAATTTGGGTGAGTAAACTGGAGTTAAAGGAAGTTGTGTGAATTATGAGACAGCTCATCTTTGTGCCAGTGAACTTGGAAACATGCTTCAGCTCACTTCTATGGCTTTAAAAAAGAAAATACCTCCAGACCCCTGAAATCAACATAAAAGTAAGGACTTAGTTGTCATGATCAAGTGCGAGACAACAGGCAACCTGTTATTATAGATGCCATACCGGAAATGAAAGCGGGTACAGAGGGACTTCATGAAAAAGAAAGGAAGGAAACCATGGGAGATGCTGTTGTTGGAGCTGTTGAGACCTTTTGCTCAAGAGTTACCCTTCTCCAGCAGTCACCCAGAAGCCCTTGCAGATAAACCAGCCGTGAGCCCAGCAGTTTTCTTGACCAGATCTTATTGGCAGCTTCCGCAGCAGAGCCCCTCCCTCTCCACGATGACTTTCCGGTTTCCACTCCAGCCCTGCATATTTTTATTTGATTTTGCTAGTATTAGAATTCATTTGCTCACCTGTATGTATCCTTTCTCAACACTGAGGCTCGGGAGGCTGAGAGCAGAGGGTGGTGGCAGGATGACACTATCTGTAAGATAGCTGGTATAGCTTGCAGATCTCAGGGTTTTGCTGGCATTGGGCCCTGTGTGCAGGAGGTGCTCCATGCTTGTGAAACATCGTCTCAGGCTTAACCCTTTTAAGACTGAGGGATTGTGGAATAGGGGTTTAGAATTTCAGCCCAGCCTCTGTGTCCTGGACAGACAACTTCATCTCTCTGAACCTCATTTTCCTCATTTATAGAATGTGTTCTTGACTTGATTTACAGATAGGAAAAGTGAGGCCACGGTTTGAGGGGAGTGGAATGTCTGTGAACGGCCTGGCATCGTGCACACACGTAGTAGGTATTTGACAGGTGGTGGCTGCTGCTTCTGGCTGGTGGCTAGTTGTCACATAGCCTCTTGTGCCTTGGCGTGATCTCAGAATTTAGAGGCCATAGGATTTAGGAGTCAGTCCTTATTCCTTTGAAGTGTTGGAATGAAGGTTGTGGCCCTTTGTCCCAAGATGTACAGGCAAGGGTCTGACTTTCTTTTTGTACCACTTAGCCTGTGTGCTTAGCATCTGGAAGGTGTTTCACTGTGGCTAAACTAAATGAGTTACCCTTACCTGAGGCTACTTAGGGGGGCATGCTAATCCCCTGTACGTTCGTTCATAGAGCAAAGCATTGGAAGATGATTTAACTCCTTGCTACTTAAAAGTATGGCTTCTAGATCAGCAGTGTTGTATCAGTGCTGAGTCCCTTAAAAATGCATAATCTCAGTTCTCCCGGCCCTGCTGGGTCGGAACCTACTTTAACAGGGGCTCCTGGGCTTTGCCTACTTACTCCGGTGTGGGCAGTACTGCTTTCAGCCCCCTTGTTCCTGTCTTGGCTGGGAAGCCTGGGCCACAGAGAACATCTGTGTTACCTACAGGAAACCCAGACTCCCTGAGTTTCTGTAAGTTGAGAGTGGAACTGAGACTGGACACAAATGCCCATGTCGTTATCCTCCGTGCACTGGGTGCGGGAGTGTGGCAAGTGGCTCTGAGCCACCTTGCGCCAGCGATGGGCAGGGCTCCCAGCGTCTCCTGAGGGCCTGTAGCACTTTGAATCACGCCTCGCTCTACTGACTAAAAATACATTTCTGTTCCTTGGCCCGAGTGCCCGGAGCAGTGGGGCTTGTTGGCCTTGTTCCTGCTATTCCATTAGACAGCGTTAAAATATGTAAAGCCGGGGGAAAAATAGACTCCCTCCAGTTTTGAGTTTGGAAAATGCAGGTTAACATTGGCAGCACCTCTTCGGCCTGAAGCTGGTCTCCATCTGACTTGGTCAGTGATTTCTCTGAAACTGCAGAAACTGAAGTGTCTTTATCTTCCTTCTCTCTGAGAGTCCTGTGTTTCCTGATCTTGGACCCGATGCCTGGATGTAGTGCCTGCAAAGTTAGGTTAGCAGCATGACATCTGAGCGGCAGGATTATAGATAATTTTGCTGTCATCCTTCATGCCTTTCTGTGTTTCCCAAGTGGACTTTGCAAAGGACGGGGGAGGAAAGTAACAGCGGGCAGGGCCGAGCATTACTTCCCCGTCCTGATGCTTGAAGGCTGAGTGCTTAGCATCTCTAGCCACGTGACGGTTCCAGCCACTCAGGCTTTGGAGAGCATGTTTTGCCTAGTGTCTGTGGTTTTGCAGAACCATCGAATTAAAAGGTGTCACATGTTCAACAAACATTTAGCTGGCACCTTCTATGCCCCTGAAGTTGGGGCCCGGAGGTCCTTCCAGGGTGACCTCCAGAGGATTTAATGCCATCACTTGGGGGAAGCCCCTGACATGTCTAAAATGTGATAGGTCATTTAGCTCAGTCAGTGTTCACATTGGTAGTCCGTAGTCTCCAAATTCTTATTCTTGTCTCATTTCTCCTTTGCCAGCAGGCGGAGGATGACAAGAGTGATAAAAAGGGAGCAGAACAAAGGGATTAGATGGCTGAGGCCATTAAGAGTCAGAGGAACCACGACAACTGGATTAGGACGAGCATACAGTTGACTCTTGAACAACATGGGTTTGAACTGTGCTGGTCCATTTATATACAGATTTTTTTAAGTAAACACACAGCCGGCCCTCTGTTTCTGCAGGTTTCGCATCTATGGATTCAACCAACTGCAGATCGAAAACAGTATTTCGGATCCATGGTCAGGAATCCCTGAATGCATTGTTCTATGCCATCTTATATGATGGACTTAAGCATCTTTGGATTTTGGTATCTGCAGGGAGTCCTGTAACCAATCTCCTGTGGATACCGAGGGACGACTGTTGTTAAGTTTTGGGGGAATCAAAAGTTATACATGGATTTTTTACTACACGGGTGGGGAGTGGGTTTGGTGCCTGTGACCCCTGCGTTGTTCAGGGGTCAGCGATACGGGCAGCTGCGTTAGGTAAAGGGCAGGCTAGGTGTATATCCAGCTCTGTCTCGGATGATGTCGTGACCTGGGACAAATAGCTTTTGTCTCACTTGTTGAATGAAGGGTGAAACACATGGTAAAAGTACTCTCGAAGCTTCCATATTCCTTCTATGGCTCAAACTGAGAGTCGGACAGTAACGTCACAAAAGAAATAGCACTGACCTGCTGCCATGTAATCACTATTGTTTCTGTATGTCATTTGCAGAAGTAGCAGATTTGTGGTTTTCAGATCAGACACCTGTAATTATGGACTTTTGTCTCTGGAAGTTGGCTCTTTGTCTCTGTTCAGTTTCTTGTCCCTTTAGTCTGTGCCAGTGCCCTGGCTCACGAGACAATGCTCTGATCCCCAGACACCAGGGCCCTCCTTTGCTGGGGTCACAGTTGGGAGGGCCTCATGGGAAAAGGGTTTGTTTTGCATCTGGCTCTACTATCAGGGCTTCAAAACAGAGTTTTCCACTGTTGGGGGGAGCTGGAGTCATTGAGTAAAATTTCAATTGGTTAATACTTTCAGATTAAGGGAATTTAATTCAATTAAAGTATTTGTCAAAGAGCAGATTTATTTGCATCGTGTTCTGAGGATAATGCCAAAGCCATTTGTCCTTAATAACAAAAAAGCATTAAAACTCAAGGAAAGCTTGTAATAAGATTGGATTGGAGCAAGGACGCTAGTTTCATAAAATAGTTTTCAGAAAAAGCAACAGACTTTTGTTAAATGTGGGCAAAATCTGCCCTCCGATTTTCACGTTTGAGAGGGTTTTTTTTTTTAATTTGAAGTCCAGAAAACTCAAGTTACGATTCCCAAGGCAACAGTAATTTTGTGTGATGCGTAAGTGACATTTCTGGTGAAGAAAAATTTCCGCTTTTCCTGTGGTGTTACTGCACTTGTATCATTGAGAAGATTGGTTACAGTGGAAATGGTTGGATTTTTTTCAGTCCTAGGAGTAAAAAGCTAGCTGTGAAATCAACTTTAATTTTAAAGCAGCAGCGTTTTTCCCATATGGCGCTTGGCTTTCTCCATGTAACTTCTTTTCCAGTTGGTGGTATATATTAGACCTTGTCTTAACCATGCCTGTTCAGTCCCTCCCTCCCCCTGCCCTTGGCCTAGATCAGGTAGGAGAGCGAAGCAAAGATTAGTTTTGCACACAAATACTTGTGACTCTGTAATAGTACTATTAAAATCCCTTAGGTTCGTGTTGTATATGAAAACACACTGAAATAACTTTTATTGCTAATCTTGAAAACAACTTTTTTGAAACTATTTTTTAATTGAGATAAAACTAACATAACATAAAACTCACCATTTTAAACATTTCAAAGTGTACAGTTCAGCAGCTTCTAGTGCATTCTCAAGGTTGTGCAACCATCACCACTATCTAATTCCAGAACTTTGTCATCATCCCAAAAACAAAGCCCGTACCCTTAAAGCAATATCACTTCCCCTGTCCCCTTCCCCCCAGGCCCCTGGCCACACTAATCTGAAAACTAATTTTTTTTTTTTTTTAGAAAAGTATTTCTCTTGTGTTAGCAGATGGACCTAGAAGACATAGAATATGAATAATTTAAAAATATCAGAAGTGGATTTGACTACACAGTTATAGTTTGCTGTGACCTCTTAGCTAAAGAAAAACTGATTAAATAAAAGTAATGGAATATTTAACATCTCTTTATTGTAACTTCCGGAGACTAAAACTTGGAAGGGATGAAACCTGGTGTCCTGTCTGTGACCCCACTTGAGGGAGTTAAGTGGCAG